ATTTACAAAATACGAACAAATAAAATACCTTTTTCGTTAAGTCGAATAGTATCAAAACTACTCTTCTTTGCAAGGGTCAACTTCATTTCGTTCTCGTCACATGTCACGTTGGCCACTGGAGACAACAAAAATGTAAGTAATAACAGGCAGAAGGAAGAAATCTATTTGTAATGGCAATATCAAATTAACAGTTTGTATAATTTGAGTTTTATGATTCGAGCTTAAGAGAATTCTAATTACACTTTCGATCCTATTTACAACTTAAGCTTTTATTGAGCGACCATTTTACCTTTGAAAGTCATTACCTGGTACACACGCTGGAGATACGGACAGCTTGCTGTTGGTGCAGGTGATTGTTGACGATCCAGAGATCACGAATCCGTTGTCGCATGATACGGTGTAGGTGGCGCCCGAATAAATTCCCGAATCCGGGGATACCGCTCCTTTTTCAATGATAGGCTTGCTACAATCATAAGGTGCTGAAAAGAAATCATCAGAAGTCCTATCAAATGTAAACAAAATTATGTAATGACTTAGTCATGATTCGTAAATGAATTCTAATTTAATTAATTTAATTGGGAGATTGAGAGAAGACATTTTCATTTATCGCTAAATTCTAAGTTTACAACGGCTTTACAATATCTAATACTGTAATAATGACATTGCATGAACTATTTTTAATACAAATTATGCCCGGCCGACGCTTAACCTATGAATTAATAATGTTTCATAATGCTACAATGGAATTCTTTAAAAAGTTTCTACGTGTAAATTTCAACAGACTGTAGAAAAATATCATAATAATAAACCAGTGATATAATATATAGACTCCTACCTCTCCCAATGATAACTAGTTCATATACTATAGCATTCCCCTCAACAAACTAATTTTTAATGACGATATAAAATTAACAGTTGTTATCATGAGTAGAGTTTTATGATCAGGGGATTTTAGTAACTCTTTTGATCCTATTTTCAAATTATGCTTTTACTGAGCAACCAAAGTCATGTTTGGTAGAAATTTACCTGGTACACACGCTGGAGATACGGACAGCTGGCTGTTGGTGCAGGTGATTGTTGACGATCCAGAGATCACGAATCCTTTGTCACATGTTGTCTCGTATATGGCTCCCGAACTAATTGTCGAATCAGGGGTTACCGTGCCTTTTTCAATGACTGGTTTGATACATGATGATATTTCTGAAAAGAAAACATCCGATCAGATGAACAATACTGTGTAGTGACTTAGGCATGATTCATACATTAATTCTAATCATAATTATAATTTTAAGATTGTGAAGAGTGAAAGCTTTGTATTCAATAATCGCTAAATTGACTTTAGAAAAATACCAATAATAAGAAGACAGTGATATAGACTCCTACCTCTCCCAATGACAACGAGCTCATGAATGGCAACCATCCCATTACGACCATCAAATTTAACAGTGTCTCCTATTATGCAATCAGAAGGAGCATTGTCCGGGGCTGTTCCATCCTCAGAGTATACTGACACGGGCCACATGTAGCAGTAATAACCACTGCAGGTACACGCGTCCCTCGAGCATGTGTATGTTTGAAGTTTACTATTATACCAATGACGTACTACCTCTACACAATACTGCTTATCTAACTTAGCCTTAAACCAGGTGTCATATCCTGGTGAATAAGCCCAAGTACCTGTATTCCTGTCTATAGCATTACTTGCCACATGTCTTGAGCTAGCCTCTTTAGTCATTGACACAGAGACAGGTTTTATTTCACCATCTACCTCTCCTAAAATTTCACCTGAAATAATGACAACGATAAATTGTTGTGTCTCACTACTTCGTACTCGCAGTTTAATTAGAGACATATAGGACTCCAACTAAATTTGTGTACGTATATTATATATTCTGTGTTAATTCTGATAAGGCCGTGATATAAAATAAATATTACAATTTTGAACAAGTTAACCTTGGATGGGTAACCACAATAGAGTCGTGAAGAGGATTATCTTTATCTTCGTGACCATCTGGTCGATATAATACATGAGCATATTCATAATATAGAAATTATTTAAATCAGTCAACTGTTTTAACGTTAAGACAATAATCAAGTATCTGGCTAAAACTCGTCACAGATTGTAATCGAAGAATGAGGGTACCGAGTGAAAGCCAGAACAGAACTGTTTACCATCGTAAGGTATAGAATTAGATTTATCTAGCATATTCCCGGACTCATTTATTATAACGGATTATAGACGCTTCTCACTTTTGTCCTAACAGGCGTGAGCGACCACAAGACGGATCAGTGTAAAAACGTAGAGTAAGATAAAACTGAAAGTACACATTGTTACGAAAATAATGCCTTCCTCTGCATCTCCTTGCTATTTATAAGCAAGGTAGACAGGTTAGCATCAGGTGACTGTATTCCGAGTTTCGTATTGATGTGATGCAGCTACGGGCACGTATCTACTCACAGACATGTTTCAAACCACCAGGCAATATTGTCTCCTTATTTGGATGTAAACAAACCGATACAATCCTACAATCGAGCATTCCGTCTCCATTGTTGGAGCTTCGTGTTTACTTCTTGGCTCTGCACGTTTATCACCAAGATATTGTACGGAATATTGTAAGTTATTATTTCTATAGGTATTACACCAATGTAGAAGAATCACTGGAATGATCCTACTGCTAATTTCAATACCATATTATTATCTTTAAGAAGTGTTTCACAGTAATAATATGGTAAATTAGTAAATTGTAACTAAAATTTTTAATTTGGATCAGGACTGTTAGTTAAAGAGAGAGATTAGAGACATTTTTTTAGGTAATTTTCAGCAAACAGAAAAGGAGCTTCTAATTTAGTGATTTAATAGCCATTTCGCCACTAATGTTCAATGAAGTGCATGACAAATTTCAGAAGGACTGATAAAACTTAAAAAATAATTTAACAAATTTAAATCTAATAATTTCATTAACCTTTTGTGTAGGATGACATGAGAGTTACATGGCTAACATCACTGTTATTTGGTAAGCAGTTATTGTAAAATAAACTTTATTTACTATTGAGCATGTCTTGGCTATTACAAATTCGGATTTGTCTAATTTCTGTGAATAATTTTCTGAATTTCTAGTATATAATATCCAGGTTCTTCACGGATTTGTTTCAGTGATCATACCATGTTTGGTTGATGGTAGCAGCATCACTTGCACCAAGAGTGACACTGTCGATGGTGTGCCAACTGGCATTAATGTCACGGACGCAGAGGTAGTCCGCAAACTCTCATTTGAGGTAAGATTTATTGTTGTTAATAACAGTTCATTGTGGCACAGTGTCTTAACTGCAAGTGTACCTTTTGCAAGTGTACCATTTGGCTACTTTACTAAAAACTGATATAGGAAAATCTCACAAATTTTGAACACAAACTGACAAACTATTGTATTTAAATGAAAATATTGTAATCTGTATATCATCAATATTTCAGGCTTGCGTTGATCGTTGCTGTCAAAAGGACGGTTGCGAGGTAGCAGGACTACATAAGAATGTCTGTGTATTAGCCAGTTGTACTACTCACCCATGCAAGAGGGATTTTAAAGCTGACCCCGAAGATAATAAGGCTAATTTCACGTTTCTCACCAAACATGGTAGGTTGTTCATTTCTTGGAAACATAATATTGCTCATTGGAAATTGTGCTAAAAAGTGGTTTTGAACATTCTGAAACTTCAATCATGGTGTCTTTTTATGAAAATTTAAAGTATACAACCTATACTTTAGGCTGCTGTTTGGATAAATATTGTCACTTTATATCTAAAAATTGTAAAATAGGTTCATGATATCAAAGAATTGATTATTTCCAAATTTCACCTTATTTCAATTCAGTCCAAGAAGACAAGCCGAATTCAGCTGCAGCTGACACTGAAAAGAAGGATTCAGCAGATCCTAAAAAAGATGCAGAGGATACCAAAACACCAGACACTAAAAGTAGCACTAAAGTTGATTCAGAAGATTCTGACAAGACAACAGCAGATTCAGTAGACACTAGTGCAGTTACATTGGATTCAAATAATAAAGAGGGGGAGCAAGCTAAATCAGATGAAACGATACTAGTTCAGAAAGCAAGCAGTGAAACTTCTGAAAGGAACGCAGTCAAGGAGAAGAGTGATACTGCAGAATCAGGAGAAACAAAAGACAAACAAACTACTGCAGAATCAGGAGAAACAAAAGACAAACAAACTACTGCAGCACCTGATTCTAAAAGCAAAAACACCCCTAGTAAACAGAAAACAAAAGCATCAGACACTAAAACTGTTGCACCCAAAGAAGAAGCCAAAGTAGAAGCTATAGAAGAAGCTATAGAAGAAGCCAAAGATGATGCTAAAGATGATGCTAAAGATGATGCTAAAGATGACTCCAAAGATGATGCTAAGGATGCCTCCAAAGATGATGCTAAAGATGATGCTAAAGATGACTCCAAAGATGACTCCAAAGATGAATCCAAAGATGACTCCAAAGATGATGCCAACAAACCAAACTGTGACCCTGATTGCGATATAGCATCAGAGAAATGTGTTAAAGATAACAACGTTTGGAAGTGTGATTGCAAAGAAGGTACGTTAAATTTTCTGAACTTATATTTAGCAGGAGATTACAATTTAGCTTGCAATTATTTCTTATTCGTCATTATGATTATCTTGAGCGAAATTCACTTGTATTTGCTGTAAAAGAAGCGTCACTAACTTTTGTGATAGGTTACTGATAACAGTTGTTACATCTCTACTGATAAAAGTTGTTACATACTTGACTATAAAGTATAATTTCGCTTTTAATTAATATTTAAATTATTTAGATTGTTTCTTGACGCAGGTTTTATAAAGACTAAGGATGATGGATGTGTTGCCAAGGTGATGTGTGAAGCTTCTACTAGTTGCCCTGGTGACCACACGGCGTGTACTGTTGTCGACAATAAAATAGCGTGTGGCTGTCAAAACGGGTATGTTAATGTTATTCTACTCAGTCTGACTAATTTTGACGGCCCCAACGTTAATGTGGCTCTTGCTATATGTTGGTTCAGCCGAATTAATTATTATGTAATCAAGTTTATTTTTCTCTTTAAGTTAGTTGTCATCCGGCCAAACATTAAGCAACTTATATTGCAGTACCATTTATCAATTAGTATATCAAAATATGTCATTGTAATTTTGCATGGCTGAAATGTAACGCTTGATTTATATAGGATACAAGGATACAAGGATACAAGGATACAAAAGTGATAATTATTTTATTGAGTTCAACGAGTTTATATATATAATAATTAATTAAATTTTCAAATTAAAAAAAAAAAAAATTGGGAATTTAAACTCTTGATATTCTTAATTCTTTATAATACTTCCTGGAAACGTACTGGAATTCTCTGAAGTTTTCTGGAACATTCATTAGCTTTCTGTAAGCTGTGCCAGTGGTTTTGGTTTTGTTGTAGTGCCTTGCGAGAAACACAAGATATGGGATTAGTTGGAATCTTAGGTTACAGTACAGTGTATATTTATGCGTGGTAATTATGTGTAATTATGTGTAATTATGTGTAATTATGTGTGATATGCGTGGAATGTGGATTATATTATCCTGACACTCCCACTTCACTGCAATGCTTTGTCTTATCAATACCCAGAATTGAATTGAAGTGTTAGTTTCGGGGGAGTAACACTCAAGGGTTTCAATCCTACATTTCACAATTTGCCATTGTTCAGACTGAATATCTAATTAATTAATTAACTAATTAATCTAATTAAACTCATCATTCCAATTACCACACCTAGACCAATAGACAACATACCACAAACCATTGTCTACAAACAGAATGTATATTCTCTCTTACCCTAACAACACTAACACTATGTCTTACCAGGTATAAGAAGGAGAAGGGAGTCTGTAAGGAGGTGACCTGTAAAGGTGTATCCTGTCCGAATCATGCCACGTGCGCCTTGTCGGAGAACACCGCGCACTGTTTCTGTGATAAGGACTATGTAGCACAGGGTATATTCTGCAGGACTGGTAAGTGATAAGGACTATGTAGCACAGGGTATATTCTGCAGGACTGGTAAGTGATAAGGACTATGTGGCACAGGGTATATTCTGCAGGACTGGTAAGTGATAAGGACTATGTGGCACAGGGTATATTCTGCAGGACTGGTAAGTGATAAGGACTATGTGGCACAGGGTATATTCTGCAGGACTGGTAAGTGATAAGGACTATGTAGCACAGGGTATATTCTGCAGGACTGGTAAGTGATAAGGACTATGTAGCACAGGGTATATTCTGCAGGACTGGTAAGTGATAAGGACTATGTGGCACAGGGTATATTCTGCAGGACTAGTAAGTGATAAGGACTATGTGGCACAGGGCATATTCTGCAGGACTAGTAAGTGATAAGGACTATGTGGCACAGGGTATATTCTGCAGGACTGGTAAGTGATAAGGACTATGTAGCACAGGGTATATTCTGCAGGACTGGTAAGTGATAAGGACTATGTAGCACAGGGTATATTCTGCAGGACTGGTAAGTGATAAGGACTATGTGGCACAGGGTATATTCTGTAGGACTGGTAAGTGATAAGGACTATGTGGCACAGGGTATATTCTGCAGGACTGGTAAGTGATAAGGACTATGTGGCACAGGGTATATTCTGTAGGACTGGTAAGTGATAAGGACTATGTGGCACAGGGTATATTCTGTAGGACTGGTAAGTGATAAGGACTATGTGGCACAGGGTATATTCTGCAGGACTGGTAAGTGATAAGGACTATGTGGCACAGGGCATATTCTGCAGGACTGGTAAGTGATAAGGACTATGTGGCACAGGGTATATTCTGCAGGACTGGTAAGTGATAAGGACTATGTGGCACAGGGCATATTCTGCAGGACTGGTAAGTGATAAGGACTATGTGGCACAGGGTATATTCTGCAGGACTGGTAAGTGATAAGGACTATGTGGCACAGGGTATATTCTGCAGGACTGGTAAGTGATAAGGACTATGTGGCACAGGGCATATTCTGCAGGACTGGTAAGTGATAAGGACTATGTGGCACAGGGTATATTCTGCAGGACTGGTAAGTGATAAGGACTATGTGGCACAGGGCATATTCTGCAGGACTGGTAAGTGATAAGGACTATGTGGCACAGGGTATATTCTGCAGGACTGGTAAGTGATAAGGACTATGTGGCACAGGGTATATTCTGCAGGACTGGTAAGTGATAAGGACTATGTGGCACAGGGTATATTCTGTAGGACTGGTAAGTGATAAGGACTATGTGGCACAGGGTATATTCTGTAGGACTGGTAAGTGATAAGGACTATGTGGCACAGGGTATATTCTGCAGGACTGGTAAGTGATAAGGACTATGTGGCACAGGGCATATTCTGCAGGACTGGTAAGTGATAAGGACTATGTGGCACAGGGTATATTCTGCAGGACTGGTAAGTGATAAGGACTATGTGGCACAGGGCATATTCTGCAGGACTGGTAAGTGATAAGGACTATGTGGCACAGGGTATATTCTGCAGGACTGGTAAGTGATAAGGACTATGTAGCACAGGGTATATTCTGCAGGACTGGTAAGTGATAAGGACTATGTGGCACATGGTATATTCTGCAGGACTGGTAAGTGATAAGGACTATGTGGCACAGGGTATATTCTGCAGGACTGGTAAGTGATAAGGACTATGTGGCACAGGGTATATTCTGCAGGACTGGTAAGTGATAAGGACTATGTGGCACAGGGCATATTCTGCAGGACTGGTAAGTGATAAGGACTATGTGGCACAGGGTATATTCTGCAGGACTGGTAAGTGATAAGGACTATGTGGCACAGGGCATATTCTGCAGGACTGGTAAGTGATAAGGACTATGTGGCACAGGGTATATTCTGCAGGACTGGTAAGTGATAAGGACTATGTAGCACAGGGTATATTCTGCAGGACTGGTAAGTGATAAGGACTATGTGGCACAGGGTATATTCTGCAGGACTGGTAAGTGATAAGGACTATGTGGCACAGGGTATATTCTGCAGGACTGGTAAGTGATAAGGACTATGTGGCACAGGGTATATTCTGTAGGACTGGTAAGTGATAAGGACTATGTGGCACAGGGTATATTCTGCAGGACTGGTAAGTGATAAGGACTATGTGGCACAGGGTATATTCTGCAGGACTGGTAAGTGATAAGGACTATGTGGCACAGGGTATATTCTGCAGGACTGGTAAGTGATAAGGACTATGTGGCACAGGGTATATTCTGTAGGACTGGTAAGTGATAAGGACTATGTGGCACAGGGTATATTCTGTAGGACTGGTAAGTGATAAGGACTATGTAGCACAGGGTATATTCTGCAGGACTGGTAAGTGATAAGGACTATGTGGCACAGGGTATATTCTGCAGGACTGGTAAGTGATAAGGACTATGTGGCACAGGGTATATTCTGCAGGACTGGTAAGTGATAAGGACTATGTAGCACAGGGTATATTCTGTAGGGCTAGTAAGTGATAAGGACTATGTGGCACAGGGCATATTCTGCAGGACTGGTAAGTGATAAGGACTATGTGGCACAGGGTATATTCTGCAGGACTGGTAAGTGATAAGGACTATGTGGCACAGGGTATATTCTGCAGGGCTAGTAAGTGATAAGGACTATGTGGCACAGGGTATATTCTGCAGGACTGGTAAGTGATAAGGACTATGTGGCACAGGGCATATTCTGCAGGACTGGTAAGTGATAAGGACTATGTGGCACAGGGTATATTCTGCAGGACTGGTAAGTGATAAGGACTATGTGGCACAGGGTATATTCTGCAGGGCTAGTAAGTGATAAGGACTATGTGGCACAGGGTATATTCTGCAGGACTGGTAAGTGATAAGGACTATGTGGCACAGGGCATATTCTGCAGGACTGGTAAGTGATAAGGACTATGTGGCACAGGGTATATTCTGCAGGACTGGTAAGTGATAAGGACTATGTGGCACAGGGTATATTCTGTAGGACTGGTAAGTGATAAGGACTATGTGGCACAGGGCATATTCTGCAGGACTGGTAAGTGATAAGGACTATGTAGCACAGGGTATATTCTGGAGGACTGGTAAGTGATAAGGACTATGTGGCACAGGGTATATTCTGCAGGACTAGTAAGTGATAAGGACTATGTGGCACAGGGTATATTCTGCAGGACTGGTAAGTGATAAGGACTATGTAGCACAGGGTATATTCTGGAGGACTGGTAAGTGATAAGGACTATGTGGCACAGGGTATATTCTGCAGGACTGGTAAGTGATAAGGACTATGTGGCACAGGGTATATTCTGCAGGACTGGTAAGTGATAAGGACTATGTGGCACAGGGTATATTCTGCAGGACTGGTAAGTGATAAGGACTATGTGGCACAGGGTATATTCTGCAGGACTGGTAAGTGATAAGGACTATGTAGCACAGGGCATATTCTGCAGGACTGGTAAGTGATAAGGACTATGTAGCACAGGGTATATTCTGCAGGACTGGTAAGTGATAAGGACTATGTAGCACAGGGTATATTCTGTAGGACTGGTAACTGATAAGGACTATGTGGCACAGGGTATATTCTGCAGGACTGGTAAGTGATAAGGACTATGTGGCACAGGGTATATTCTGCAGGACTGGTAAGTGATAAGGACTATGTAGCACAGGGTATATTCTGCAGGGCTAGTAAGTGATAAGGACTATGTAGCACAGTGTATATTCTGCAGGACTGGTAAGTGATAAGGACTATGTGGCACAGGGTATATTCTGCAGGACTGGTAAGTGATAAGGACTATGTGGCACAGGGTATATTCTGCAGGACTGGTAAGTGATAAGGACTATGTGGCACAGGGTATATTCTGCAGGACTGGTAAGTGATAAGGACTATGTAGCACAGGGTATATTCTGCAGGACTGGTAAGTGATAAGGACTATGTAGCACAGTGTATATTCTGCAGGACTGGTAAGTGATAAGGACTATGTGGCACAGGGTATATTCTGCAGGACTGGTAAGTGATAAGGACTATGTGGCACAGGGTATATTCTGCAGGACTGGTAAGTGATAAGGACTATGTGGCACAGGGCATATTCTGCAGGACTGGTAAGTGATAAGGACTATGTGGCACAGGGTATATTCTGCAGGACTGGTAAGTGATAAGGACTATGTGGCACAGGGTATATTCTGCAGGAC